TTTAAAGAACACTGCATATTTTTCATATATCTCATATAAAAATATGAGAAAGAGAAAGAAATGCCTGGTGTACAGTAAGTGCTCAAAATGTATTAATAAGTTTCCTTTTTTCTATATCTAATAGATAGATACATACAATAGATATGAGAAGAGGTTAGAATTGTCAACACATCTTTTGCTAAGGCTTCTAGCTGCCTGTTGGGACCTAATAACAAGAAAATACTATTCTTATTATAATAAGATCAGAGCCTCTAATAAGACTCACAAATCTTATAATAAACCTGCTAATTACATACAACTAATATACATTTCAAACGAAAATTTGTCAGAATGTGTTAGTGTTCTTTGAACAGTTCAGTGAAATTTTGGAACACTAATTACAACCAAAATTCTCTTGTTTTCCACACATACCACACAAGGAAATCAGGGATTAGAGAGGTATTAACAAACACAATCACACAGTGAAGCTTCTCTTTCCTTTCTGTGCTATCCTCATGTTATTAGACAAGATGTATAACAACAGCTGTTTCTATAACTCTGGTATAAACCTACTAACCCCACTCACACCCTGTCTTCCAATGTCTTTGCACTTCCACAAGGTCATACAACTTACTCCAAAAGTTTGAGAATGTGCAAAGCCTGAGAGCTTACAAAGGACATCAGCACAACTCAGCTAAATCTAGCACAGATACTCCTTGACTTACGATGGAGTTACATCCCAATAAACCCACCATAAGTTGAAAATATCATAAGTTGAAAATACACCTACATATATTTAAAATGAATATTTAAATAACATTTTTATCAACAGAGGTTATTTCTAGAGGAAGCATTCAAAATGAACTCTGATTTTGTTAATTTAGCATAGCTTTTCTTCAAGATTCAGGTAGAATCTCCATGCTCAAGAAACCTCTGAGAAGATCTACTCCTCACCACAAAAAAAAGGTAAGAATTTGAGGTGATGGATATGTTAATTAGCACGATTTGATTATTCCACAGTATATTCATAAATCATAACATTACTCAGTACCCTGTAAATATATACAATTATAATTTGTCAATTTATAATTTAAAATAAATAAGTCAATTAAAAAAAGATTCTCTCTAACCTGAAGATGACCAACCCTTTCCATGCCCCATGTCGAAATGGGAACAAGGGGGTGGAGGCCATTGGGCATCA